ATCATTTAGTTGGTATTATTCATACCACAGTGTGCATGACAGCTTGGCATTACTGCCTTCCAGGATGAAAAAGTACTCATCAGATTCTTGGGCACAGCTTCATTGCCCCAGACTGCAAACAAAATGCTGTATTTTTAAGCAGTTTAGTATATGACATGATTCTCATGCAGCAACTGAAGTTCCTACAAAAGATCTTAAGATACTGGCTAAAAACACTAGTTTTCAATCTGTCACTAGGGAAAAGGGAATTTCCTGAGCACATCAGATTCACCTGGAATCTATTTATTCTGAAAATCAGAAAACGGAATAATCTCTTTTCCAAATATAGGGGGGCTGTTTTGGTTCCATTCTGTAGTTGATCAGATTCATGTTCTCCCTTTCTTCCATATTTCATTTAGTGTGGTTACCCCAAATCACTACGTGGAAGCAATCTTTCATATAAAGGAAATACAAAGACTATGGCTATAGCTGAGCAAAGAAATGGGTGAGGATATGCCTTGCCCTTTCCTTGCAGAGCTAGCAACAGTCAAGTCCGGAGTTGGTGAAAAAGTAAGTGGAAAAACACAAAAAGGAAATGAAGTATTTGAAGTATTGACGTATTTATGAAGTATTTATTATCTGTCGAAACTGTGTAAAAAGAGCTATTTATATAGTTTAAATTATTTTAAAATACTGATGATACAGCACATATACACATTTCATCTCTCAAAAATACTGAATTAAGATTCCAAACCCCTTTAACCACTCATGGAGGTACAGCTTTGAAGTTAGAGCCCAAACCTCAGCAAGAGCGGCTGGTAGCACAGGACAAGACGGGTTTTCCTCCCCTGCTCCATAGGGATATGGTCATTTTTGGAGGAAGTATACTACTGCTGTGTCATTAATACGCACATGGCTTAAAAGGAACAAAGACTGGTCATCCCATTGCACGCAAATTAAGGATGTGCTTTATATTTCTACTTCATAATAAACGTCAGATGGCCAGCCCCAGTATTCAGCAAGTGCTCCACTGTTTGACAGCCTAGGCAGCCAGAAGAGCATGCCTTCTGCCCGCATAGGGAGCAGCAGGTTCCAGTCTTCTACTTGATTTAGCTTCTAGCAACTACCAAAAAAAAAAAGAAAAAAAAATATTCCCCTCAGCCCCATTTCCCCTTCCTTCCCAATCTCATTTCTTTATTCCTTTATTTGATGGTTGTTATAAAGGTTACAAAAGTCACATAGAATCACAGAATTGTTTGGGTTGGAAAAGACCATAAAGACAATGTAATTCCAACCCCGTGTCATGGGGAGGGACACCTTTCACCACATCAGGTTGCTCAAAGCACTGTCCAACTTCACTATATATTACAACATCTCTTCTATTAATTGGGATGGAGAAAAGAAACCCTTGAAAAGTCAGCCAATAACACAAGTCCTGCTGAGAGCACTGGAATCACTCAGATGCTTCCCTAAGTAACTCAATGTGTGGACTGTGCCATGGAGACCTTTACTCAATGGCCGATTTCTGCAAAGACCAGATTTGTCAGTCTCTCTAAATCTGACCTCTCAAAGAAACCACAGACCCTATTCATGCTCACTGACCAGCTAAACTTCTCCCAGACACCACCATTTCCATAAGCTGAGTAATCCAGCTCCCCACCATGGTCTATAGGACTTATAAATCAACATCTTAAACAAGTCACCTCCAGCTATATGCACATAGGAAACAAGAATGAAGAGAGAACTTGCAGTAAAATATTGCACATTCAATTAAAAGTACACATTTATTCCACCTTTGCAGTATTTTAGGGGGTAGCTTAGTTCAGCTGGGAATTTTCACTATCTTACTCCTAAAACCATGAGGAACTTGAAAAAGTTCTTGTATTTAGGATTTCTCCGCTACTCAAAAACATCAGAGACCTTTAAATACGCATCTGTTCTTTCTGCTTTGAAACAGTAACTACTCAATTAGTGGCTAATTACAGTTCATGGTGATTAAAACAGAGGGTATTCCACAGAGATTCTCCTCCAACAAGTGTCTTTCTTCCAACCTTGAGAAGACAAATGAAGACCAAGTCTTCTCTGCTATCTTTGCATCAGTCTTCCAACACATATTAATCATCACCCAGCCCCAGACACACCATGGAGCCAAGTGGGGTCCTGGATACAACTGGGTGGCTTCACAGGACATCCAAAACAGGCTCCAGGAGCACAAACTTCTCAAAAAGACACATATATAAAAAAAGCTTTCACAAAGATTAAAAATAAAATAAAAATAAAAACTAAATTTAAAAAATGTAAAAAATAAAAATTAAAAAGAAAAAATAAACAAAATCACTCTACATAAGTGAAGTTACCTGCCTCTGCAGAACAGATGCAGGCCAAAGAAAAGAGCAGCTTTTGTATATCCTGAAGGAAAGGATATAGGATTTTTTAGCATTTAGTGTAACCAAGTCATGACATCTCAAGTTTTTAATAACAGTGTTCACTCTTCCAGGACTCAGGGGAATCGGAGAATTTATTATGAAATAGTCCTTCATATTGTGAATGCAAATTAATCCTATTTACAACCACAACTTCTGTCATAACACTGAACACGTGGCAGTAAGGAAAAAGTGAGTGTCGTCCGTTCAACCAGCTAACAGACATACATGCTGCCTTAGCATAGTGCTAAAATTATTCCACAGCTTGCTAATCATAGTGTAATGTGGGAGCAAAGGAAAAGCATCATTATTGTCTGAATGCTACCCCACATCTATGGAACATGTTAACCTTTAAACCTACTGAATACTCTAACACAGGAAATAATAAAATAAAGACATTATAAGTTTTGTGGAGCAAGGGGGGGGTGTAATTTCCAAAAACAGTGGACACAAAATAACCCTGTCTTCAATAAGCTCTGAGCCCAGGAAAAACTGAACTATCACAAGTCTTAATCTCAGTATATTTGCTGGGTGATAACAGTTTCTTCTGCAATAGATCATCATTAACATTACACTCAGGTGCTCTTTTGTGTTTGAAGCATGTACTGATTTCAGCAACACAAATGTTTTGTAACAAAGTAGGAGCTGAAGCTTTAGCATGAAAATAATTTCAGGCCAAACTTGCAGAGTGTACAGACTTGTGCTTGGGCAGGCAACACTGCAGCTCTACCAAAAAAAGGAGACAATCAACCTACAAATTCTAAATTACTTCTGTGAAAGACTGTTGAGGAGTACCAAACAGCCTCACTGGCACAAACATATTAAATTACTGGGAATACAGAACCAGGAGGTTTCAACTTGCATTTACTTAAATACACCGTCTGAACAGTATCTTTAAGCATGACAAAAAAAAATAAATGTGTCATAATTATATTTGTAATGGAAATTTTTAATGTACTAGCCAATATAAAGAATTCATTTAAAATAAAGGGAGTAGCCAGCTTTATTCCTATGTTAATTGCCACGTGGACTGATTTCTTACCACACAGCATGTTGGCTATAAATCTTAACAAGCAGTTTCAAATTGCTGCTATTATTGCTCATCAGGACTGAAGAATCCTGGATGGTGTTCAGGGAAGCTTCTATAACATCTATCTCAAGCAACTATTAATTCATCATTCCCTGGGAATGAAATTTCAAGCAACAACCACCAACTCCTCCTCTGTTTAAATGGTGGGGGCAGCAAAAAGATGCAGAGACACCAAGATCTGAAATTTTAGAGACATAAAGGACAAACTATTCTCTATGGGTGCGGTGCAGCCCTGGAACAGTTTGCCCAGGGAGCATACTCCATCTCCACAGAGCTTCACAACTCAGGATGTTGAGGACAATCCCATCCACCTCTGATACTATTCTTCCTTTCAGCAGAAGGTTGGGTAAGGTGACTTCCAGAGTCCCTTCTAATCCAAGTTTTAATAAAAAGCATAGTTACCTCTGAGCACTACAATTTTAGTATTTGATGCAGTCAAAGGAACAGTCTCCCTTGATAGATCTGAAATTCACAGTCAAAATACAGGGGCAGCTCACTAGCTATACAATTGTTATTAAACAGACTTCCAAACCTCTCTCCCCTCCTCCCCTCCTCCCCCCATTACATTTAGCAAAGGCTTTTGAATGAATAGCCCGTTGAGATTGCTGCTGAATGGCATAAGATATGGAAAAGATAGGGGAGGCAACAACACCTACCACCCTTCTCAAAAAATTAAGATAACGACACAAGCTCAAAAAAACATCACTGAAAACAATATTAGCAGGACAGCTACACAAAGTCTATTCCTTTTAAAGTTTGATTTAACCTTCCTGTACTTACTGTAGGTAGTGTTATACCTAGGGAAATACCTGCTTCACTTCAAAGCTGCATTTGCCACTAGTTAGAAACCTTTCCACAGTACATAATATACAATCTGAAAGGTCTTTACTGCTTCTCCCTTCAGACCTGTTAAAAGACTGTGTGGGATCTCTCTCCTAAAAACCACAAGTATTATTTATCATATTTGCACAATTTTACAGAGAGGTAAAACAGACGTCAAATGACTGCTTACATGTTTTTATTCAAAACTACATAATTAACTGGCTCTGCTGCTAAAGAACCAATTCAGTATTCTCCTCAAAACCAGTCTGACTTCCCCAAGCACTCTGCAACATCTGTTCTTCTCTGCTCATTTTCTGTCCCTCCAGAAGCCTGTATTAAAACAAAATAGTTTTTCCACAGATATTCACTTAATTTGCTACTACTTTTTCAGTCTAACTTGGGACCTCTCATTTGTATTTACTCTTTGCTTATAAGGAAATATATACAAAAAAATAAAAAATGCTGATAAATGACTGAATGGAGAGAAAGCTCCTGGACTTTCAAGAAACGTATGACTCATTCTGGGATACTGAAGTCCTATAATATGTCCAGCAGCCATGTCTTCAACTTCTCACTCTTATAAGCGCTGTATTTTCAGAACTGTGTATCGTGTTTTTATAGAGATGAGGGAACAAGTATTCCACAACATAAGCAGTGCTCATCCACACATTCGTGTGCCCTCTTACCTTGGATGCACTGCAGGGTTCCATCCTCAGCCCTTATTGTAAAGGTTTCACCTGGATTAACTTGAACCAAAAAGACCTGAAAAAAGAAAAAAGCATACATTTGTCTCACTGTGATCTTAAGAAACAGAATGGCATACCATATCTTTGGGTACCAACAGGGTCCAAAAGTCAGTACAGATTTAAAAGTCTATCTACTCATCTAAATGTTAAGAGATGAAATAAAGACGTAACTCAGTTGTGCGCAAGTGAAAATTATGGCTCTGGGTTCCACCAACAAACTTTTGACAGCATGTTTAACTTAGCCTAATGCTGATAGCTAAGGACATAAATCTTCAGAGCACTGGCACACGAGAGCAGAGAGCACATAACCTCCCACACATAGCACCATGCCATACCGGGATTTCAAGTTCACAGGAATAACAGGGCTTTTGCAGTCTAAGGGGAGTTGATAACATTACATTTTTAAGAATTTATCCTTCAGTCTTACACATAACAGACCTCAGTTAAACAAAACCAACAGACAGACGCACACTTCAATAGCTGCACACAGAACCAGTGATAAACTATTCCTTCAGTAACAATCACTTTTGTTTTGTAAATCATCAAAGTATCACCTCAGTCTCTCATTGCTGAATTCCGCAGATGACAGGAATGTTACAAAGACCAAGAAGCACCAAAACATATCCCAGTTCAATGCACACTGCACACATCTTTATTATTTTTCAGGTGTCTAAAATGATGTTTTTAAAATGTATGGCTTATATTTCTTTCTTTAATGAAGAGTTTCATTGGGAAAACATGATCATTTACTTGCAAAACTTTTACTCAAATACTTTAAACACACTTCTGTTAACTCTGCATTGTCAGAAGTTGGATAGAAATCTGGCTTAATTTTGGTAGAATTTAAAATTAGATTTCTATCTTTTTGTGAACACTCTCTAGATTTAGGTTTGGTCTTTATATTCTGGGACACCTGCATGCAGAATTTAATCACTTAATCTGGAAAGACAGAATTTGAATTAATGTTGTGTTTCTGAATTCCTTAAACTAAATACGTAAAATAATTATTACCAAGATGACCTTTGAATTACAGTAATCTTACAAAACCCCATTATTCCAGCAATATTTTTAAAGCACAAGCTGGAAATCAGAAAAATGACATATGAAAGCCATTATTTTGTCCGCTTCTCGGGGAGCACTGAACAAGATGGATCTGATCCAGCATACAGAGCACAATAAATGGATCTGAAAAGATAAGAGGCAAAAGCCATCCCATCCCTAACCTCTGAACAATCACCATTTAAGTCACACCATTTAAGTGTGCTTTTGCTATGAATAGGCATGAATTATCCGCAACAGGATATGGGCATCCGGTCAAAAGAAGAGCAGAGCAAAGCAATGTCATTCAGCTTACAAAAATCCCAACCAGAATTCAGAAACCTGAACACAAAGAGGCAAAGAATAACAAAAATATCCCATTATCTCATTTGCATTATATGTCTAAATCAACATCTCTAAAGCTGGTTATTTATTAGGGTTAGGGTTAGGGTTTGGAAGAACTTGGTCCAACTCCTTAGAATACATAGAATAGAATGGTTTAGGTTGGAAGGGACCTTAAAGATCATCTAGTTCCAACCCCACCTGCCATAGGCAGGGATACCTTCCACTAGACCATGTTGCTCAAATCCCCGACCAACCTGGCCTTGCACACTGCCAGGGATGGGGCAGCCACAGCTTCCCTGGGCAACCTGTGCCAGTGCCTCATCACCCTCACAGGAAAAAACTTCTTCCTAATGTCTAATCTGAATCTACCCCCTTTAATTTTAAAGCCATTTCCCCTTATCCTACCCCTACATGCCCTTGTGAAAAATTCTCCAGATTTCTTGCAGGCCACCTCAGGCACTGAAAGTCTGCTTACAGCTCCCTGGAGATCTCCATGAGGCCTTCTCTTCTCCAAGCCAAATGAGCCCAACTCTCTCAGCGTGCCTCTGTAGCAGAGGTGCTCCAACACTCTGATCATCTTCGTGGCCTCCTCTGGACACCCTGCAACAACTCCGTGTTCCTTACCCAAACTAGACCCGTGTCTCATACATGAACAGCTCCATCTTCTCCCTACAGCAGGGAGTTAAGTTTGATGGCAGCCTGTTTAAAGGCTGTGTGAGAGGGATTCCTACATGAGGCATATGCCTACCTCAGTTATCAAAAGGATGTGATTTACAAATGTCTTTTCAACGAGTCATTGCAAAAGGTCGCTCGCTAGTGCACACATCTGCATTAGCATCCCTGTAGCTGTGCTATGAAAAATCCTTGGGTTTCTGCATTAAAAAAGATAATATCCCTAATAACAGCTGCTGCTTATGGTGGCTAAAATGAAGGGCAGCTGCTATCAGTTCACAGAATTCAACAGCTTAAAGATTTCATTAAAAAAAAAAGAAGGAAAAAAAAAAAAAAAGGAAAAAGGCCAACTAGGCACTAGCTACTGCCACAAAGCATGGATTATGCTGGTTAGGAAGCAAAAAACCAAATTTGTCTATTGCATGCTGCAGGATAACAACAGCCACCTCTACCCGGCATCTGGAGTAGGGACCATACTGCCTTTCCTAAATTTTATGCACAGCCCAATAAAGACAAGAGACCACAAAATATTTTCACCCAGGATCGTGCCCTGAGCTCTTCAGCTACAGAAGAAGAAATACCAAACATTTCTGAAATTCATTCAGTTAAGCAAAATTTTAGAAGAATTAAGAGGCCAAAGAGCAAGAAGAGAACCTGAGGCCCTGAGTCGCCAAGCCTCTGTGTGTAGCTAAAAAGGCCACCTTCAGCTATGCAGGGTTTCTTAAACAGTGAAGAAATCAACCTCTGGCTACAGTGGTACAGGAAAGCAGTTCTGAGAAGTTCTGAAGGTACTAAAAGACATTCTTCTACAGTGATGCTCAAAATCAGCCACCTGTGCAGCAGAAGAAAACACAGGCGGCTGCTGGGGAAGAGCAGCTATATCAAAAGCAAACAGGAATAGCTAACATGTGAATTATGTGGGTCAACGCTGAAGGAAGGGCTGGATGTGGAGGAAGTGCTGGATGCAAAGGGAAGACAGCCAACACATCAGCACTCATATTCAAGGGTGTCCTCAGACCCAGCAGCAACAATCATGGTGCTCCTGAGGCAAGACTCCACACTTGTTCCATATTGCAAGCATCTCCCTTCCAAACAGGCTGCAAGCCTAGCCCCAGCCTCCGCTCCCTCCCCAAAGATGGGGTGCTGGGGTCTGCCCCATAATCCACCCCACCACCTAGACCCCTCTGCACTCACCCTGTGCCACATACAACCCCCTGAGAGCTTGCAAAACTAACAAGCCGCCGAGCTGAGGTCAAACCATTAAAGTCAGCACATGACAAGCATAAGATACTGGGCATCTTCCAGCCACCACCCCCAGTTTATCCCAGTTGCCTGGGACAAATAATACTGAAGCACACTGTGACTTCTTTTGTTAATACACACTAAGTATGTCAAACTAATTCAAAGATTTATTTTTCCCTACATCCTCTTAAAAAACAAAACCGTAGTCTGCAGCTGAGAATGCATCTTTTCTCTTTCTTTTCCACACAAAGAATCTTCATGAGAATGCCTTGTTTCTGAAACTTGTAATTAAAAATCTGAGGAAAGCAATAAAAAGGCTAAGGATAATGTCTATTTTAATGAAAACAAACACAGATTATCTTTAATTTCCCTGTGTCTCTTCCAGTATTCATCATCCCAAGGACGCACATTCATGAGATGGAAGTAAGAAGAGAGAGAACTTAAAAGTCACTTTGAGCCCAGACTGTTGGCCGGCAGCATCATGAGGGCGCAGACCAGTGTCTCATGATCTTCAGCTCTGTTTCAGTCCCCTGGCCTTCTCCCATCCAAAAAGCTAGAGCTTGTGACAGCTGCAAGTATGGAGTCAGCATCACAGTCCCAAAAAGGCTTTTTCTTTTCCCCTAAGAAGTATTCAGGTCTTTGCTTTAGCAGTTTAATCCAGTCAGTGTGGAAGCCCAGCCTTACCTGCAGCATCCTCAGAGACAGCTTGCTATCTCCATAACACACTTATTTGTAGATTTACTTTGCATTTAAGAATGTTATTATATTTTATTTAAAGTCATGTTTGTTAAGACTGATTAATGTTACTAAGTTGCATAGTTACTATAAATATTTATAATCACACACCCAATTTGGCAACAATTGCTCTATGTCCAGACTAAGTTTTCATGATGAGGTAAACTCACACCACTCCTGTCCCCCATTTTCCTACTATCTGACTCTTGTGCCTGCTGGGAGCAGGGGAGGAGACTAACAAACCTGCCAGCAAAGTCCAGCACAGGCTTAAAGCTCAGGTTCAGCTAAATATGAACTATGTACTATGTGGGTAAACAGTCTCATACTAAGATAGAAAATGTCACCTGATAAGACCAAGACCACATGCTATTGTCTATTTTGTACAGTATTGGTTTATTTTTTAAGCATACAGAAGGAAGTCCATATTCAAAACAGATCATCATCTCCTAGCTGTTTTGCTGCAGATCACTAGTGAGAGCAAGTGTAGCAGCAAGTGGGAATACATTCACTTGCATCCATGTGATGCAATACAATACAGTGCTTGCTGTAAAATACTTTCATTTTATGAGAACCTTTTCCTTGCTAAGGTCAGCTGCTTGCACTCTTTCGCTCATTAAAACCTTGCCTTAAGCACTTCCCAATGTGATAAATGCTTCCTAGAGTCAGGGGCGGGGGGGGGGGACACACACAGCATCACAGGCATGGCCTGCAGTTCCTCACAAGTGCTATGAATTACTAATATCTATTGTATTTACAATTTCTACAGTGCATAACCTTTGGAATATATTACAACCTTTTTTTTTGGGGGGGGGGGACGACACATAGGAACACACACAAGAAAAATAAATCAGTCTCTTGGGGCCAATCTCTATTCTACTTTGAAAGACTGCCCCAGATCTCCATGAATTTACAGCTCTGTCCTGCAGGAAGGACCGAAGAGTTCACACCATTCCATGAGCAATATTCTTCCCAGAAATGTATTTCTCAGCTACACAGGAACAGAGAGGATGAATACTTTCAACCTCCCTTCAGTAAGAAAAACTAGGAAACATGCTACATCTTAAATAATACAACAGTAACTTTCAAAAATGAATAGTTTGATGATAGTATTCTGGGCTTAATTATCCTTTTTTTTCCATAGTACTGAAAATAGAGGCATGAAGTAATTCAGTGTATGATGAGTGCTACTGACAGCAAAGCCCACAGGTGGCAGATCCTGAACCCCCTAATTTATCACAAGCTAAACACAATCCAAACAAGTGGTTACATCATCCCTTATTTGACGGCCATTTTTTATGGACTGATGCTTCTCAACTCAGGTATCTTAGATGTATATAAGTTAGAAACAATTTCCTTCCTCAAACAAGCTTCCTGTGAGCAAGTATTTCCACACAGCTCTCCCCACCCCCACCCCCCAGGACATTTCTGCAAGTATCGATAAAAATTTTCAAGAAAGTATGAAGAAGTAACTCTAAATTTTGGCACAAAGTTTATTGACTCAGCTCAGGTCCAGTTCAGGTACAGCTAAACACTTCCAAGCTCTTTGCAAAGTGCACAGAATTGTGCTACCAGAAGATACCAAATCTTGTTACTCACTCAAGACATACTCTTGTCTCCCTTATTGAAAGGTGTGTGGCCCTAACAGACAAGAACATGCACACACAGCACTACATACAGTGCCTGGGCTTGAGCCAAACAGTATAAAAACAAGGTCTGGTAAAAACACCTTTACAAAGAGCAGGCAAGCAGACAACTTGCTACGCCATTGCAGCTACAGTGAGTGAACCAAGCTGAATTAAAACTTTCCCAACTAAATTGCCTGCCATCCTGTACAGATGTGCTATGGCACTATGAGCTGCCCCTCCACTTTATACTCCAAGCTTTTCAGTGCTTGCAGCCGAGTACCTACAGGAAACCATTGAAATTCTTGGACCAAAAGGTTAATTATCACTCCCTGAATCCCCACAGGAGCTACAAGTGGATTAGACGCAGAAAGAGAGTAAGCAGCAACTCTGGAAGGGACATGAAAGCATTCAATACAGTCAGCAGCAATAGAAATTAAGTGTGGGAAACTTAATTAAAAAAAAAAAAGTAATACAAAAATAGCCAGTGCTAGAAATGCAATTTGGGTAGTCTGGAGAAGAGGGATTACTATCAAGCAGACATTCCTAGCTCTGCCCTGCACACTTACCCCCAGAAAGATAAAACAATTGACTGTTTCTATGCAATTGTCTTACAGTGCAGGACTGTTAATGGCAGAACAGCCTTTTGCATCACTCTCCATCTGGCTGCTGGTAAAAAAGCTAAGGTGTTACACCACCTTCAGTCTGCTCTTTTCTACATATGCAAGAATGGTCTTTTGAGAAAATCTGAAGCTCTGCATTTCCAGCTGCAGCTTATAGGACAACTCTACCACGCCAGCATGGCTGAGGCTTCACATATCCAATAACATATAAAGGTAAGCAACAGCAAGCACACTCAGAGCATCTCATCAGAAGCAAGTACGGTCAGCTTCAAAGCACGAGGCATTGGTCTGCATGCTAGCCACTCACTATCTGGAAAACACCATGCGCCATGTCTCCCACCAGCTCTGCTACGATGCTTTCTGACTTCTAATAGAGACAAGGACTGTAATTACACCCTAGAAAAACACATGTCCTTATAAAATCAGCACCTATCCATGGAGTAATATGAACCATCTTTCTTAAGGAAGTCATCCTTATGTGAATCTAATCTGAAGGACGTACCTGCCTTACAAGTAACTAAAATTTCATTCCATTTAGAACTGTACTTTTAAAAAGCAAAGACATCAACTAAACCTTCAGGGACAGGTTGAAAGTGATAATGCACAAAGGCAGCTACACTTTGCAGCATATGAGGGCACATACAGACTAGAGGCCAAAAAGAGTCTCACAGAAAATTGTATTCCACCTACAAGTACTTAAAGAGATAAGGTGATGAGGTCTACAAGCAGCATTCAACAAACATTTATGCAGAAACGGACTCTGGCCCAGAACTTTTCTGAGTCACATTGGCAAAGCACAGCAAAAGCTAGAAGTATTTCAATTCCAGTACGCCAGTCATTCTTTTTACTCCAAAACGTGAGATGAAAAGCTAGCTTAAAGGTAATGGAGACATTTGCCAAGCAAGGCTTCTGAATCATCACTGATGGGGAAACTCAAAGATCGGACTTAAGAGCCCCATCTCAAAGAAGGGCTCGGAAAGTTTCATGTATTCTTTCTCATATACAGGAGTACCCACAGGCCAGTCTAACCTGATAAATGGTTTCCAGCAAGAACGAAAAGGGCGTATTTAAACAACAATTCTCCAATCCAGTATCAGCAAGCTTGTTCCTTCAGTTAAGCATATTAATACTGGACTAATTAAACAGAGCCATTAAAAGCTTTCTTTTCTATTTTTCCAAGTTGAAGCACACTGTGCAGAAATCACTACAAAAAAAGAATCACAGCAGTGAAAATCTGTATTATAATGAGAACCAAGATAGTTAAACAAAAGCTGACAAGAAAAGCTGAATTTATTCTTCCTCTTGAGGTTGGTCTAACTCAAAACACAGCTTGGAAGGATGAACAAATATCAAGGGTATGAGAAGTAAGAGAATGACTTTTTATATTGATTCATGAAGGACAGCTTAGATATACCTTGGTTGAAATGGCTAGAATAAGGAAGGAACCAAACTGAGTGACACCAAAAACCTGCTAGGGCAGATGTTCTACAACGAGAAATATTAACTCAAAATGACAGGTTTGGGAACCTACCAACTATCTGCTTGAACCTCCAGGCTGTATCCTGACATGAAGGCTTCATGATGGCCTTATATCATTTTATCTACTTCTGATCAAGTTTATCAGAAAAAAATCTCCCAGAAAGGAATATGAAAGCAACTATAAACTTTCCATTCCCTTCTTCTTCTAATGAAGCACAGGATAAAACATAGGGTTGCTAGGATCAGTACATTTAGGTAAGCAATGAACAGCAGACATCACAGGACTCATCTTCAATTCTCCATTTCTTAAAATCTCATCACAGATAATAACAAGATGTCTGGGCATCAGCTAGTACAAGTAAATAATGAGACTAACTTTCTAGAAAGCCCTCAAATATGTAGCATTTACAGCCATTATTTCAATCCCATTATTTTATAGTCAATGAAAGTACATGCAAATAATCACATTAAATTTAATGGTACCCTTAAAGCATTGCTTTTAATGCCAGTGTAAGGGCAGATTTCTGCTTTCCAAGAAATACTCTGCCCTCCCTAGTCCTAGGGAAAACTCTCTTCCCCATCCAGAATCCTTTGGTGGCCCAGAAATAGTTTACTTAAACCAGCCACTTCCTGCAGAGCTCACTGACCTGCTGTGACCCATCGCCATTCACGATGTGAGGCATCATGGCTACCTCTCCGTTCAGCAATGGTGGCAGCTCCAGCGGAATTTGGTCGGTCATCATCATTGTGACGTACATTCATGGAGGATTTTCCTCAACGGGTTTCCTGCAAGAGAAGCATCAGTTAAAGACCTTGGAAAACCCACTCAGACTTCAGAAGGTCACTGGCATCTGCATGGATTTTGCCACTAAGATAGTAACCTACACAAGACACTTGGTTTTGGAATAGGATGCATATAGGAACTTGAAGCACTGAATGGAAGTTTTAACTGTTAGATCGAGAGCATGTCAAGTTTCCAGTCAAGACTTCCAAAACCCAACTAGCCAGATTTCCACTCTTTCCCACAATTATAATCCCAGTCCTCATCACACCACTGAAATATTTAAGTTCCAAGATACTTTCAGGGAGATCTGCTCTGTTCTTAAAGACTGGCAACCTGCTTGCTACCACAGCCCTTGGAACTACACCATCCATGTGGTTTAGATGTTGCTACAGCCCTGCAAACAGTGTGAACTGCCACCTCTAGCACAAGGAGCAGGCACCTGAATTCTACTTAACTGGGATCCAAAGGATCCAGGTTTCTGGTGAAGCAGAAAACAGGGAGGGACAGCACATCCCCACAGGCAGAACACCTTGTATAACACAGAAGACAACAGAAGACAGTCTCACTTAAATATTTGTGAAGAATCACACATCAGTTTGAGCACACCCTCCCCCTTCACAGCTAACTGATGTGGTATGTAAGCACCACTAAAATCACAGGGAGATTGCTTTGTAAAAACAAGTCTTAATTCAGCAATAAGAGTAACATCATACTGTTTTATAGGGCAATAATCCAGTTCTTTAGCGAATCAGATGGATGACCTAATAACATAAGCTTATCTAGAGTACTGCACAAGAACTCCCAAGCAAAGCCACCTCACAGGGCCAGTGCTGATCAGGCAGCCTCCTCGGTATCTCTTATACCAGAGAATCTCAAAGTCCTCCGGAATAATTTCATATACATCACAAATCTGAGTTAGAAGAAAAAAAAAACATACACTGTGACTTAGATGGCTGTAAGCAGCCAGATAATTAGCTGGCACAAGACCACCAGAGTACAAAGAAGAGAATTTTTGGCAAAGAACGACAGGAAAATCCCCATTCATGAGGAGAGCATTGTGGGATCTAGTATTTATATGGAGCACTTCACTACAGAGCTGTAACCAGGAGTTTAATTCATCTGTTCCAGAGGAGACAAAGGTTTGAGCCTCACCAAGGTTGGAGCATGTGGTCCACAGATGCTGCAACCTTAACATCACCATACCTGCTCTGCCCCCAGGTGCTGCTAGACTTTGTAAAGATATAGATAATTTTAGTTTAACAACAAAAATAGTTTAGTTGAAATACACTCTCCATTACCACCAGTCTCTGTCAGAGCTCATCACAGTCCTATCACCTGCACAGCAACCTGATGATCAGAAACATCAGCCTCACCAGGAGCTGGTATTCCAGTCCCTGAAGAAGACCACTTGCGATTTGGAAATGATGGTGGTGCCCACACAGACTGAGTCACGTCTATCTTTTACTTTTTATCAATCACACAAGCCCCCTTCATATCTGAGTAATACCAGAGGACTAAAAGCGTACTTGTTTTTCAGAAGACGTGCAAACTTAGCCCTGTTGCCTCCAGCCATACCTCTCAAGACCAGCATTTTAATTTAACTCAGTACCAAATTTAGCAGGACTTTCACAGCAATTTCCAATGTTCTTATCCGTGCAAAAACACCACTTTTCTAATCATCACTTCACTGGGATATAAACAGAGGCAATCTATTTTCATCCACCTTTAAATGAAATCACTCCTTTCATTTGAGACTCAATTACAAGGCAGCACTTCTCAGAAAGTTCTTGAGACACAGCTGTTAAGAGGATGGAACGGCCACAACCAGGATTCAAGTCCCATCTCCTGCCTGCACCAACTGCTTCATCCCAGAGTCTGGTTGTGTTTTAGTCCTACTGTCACCACTATGCTGAATAATCTGCCCTGCAGTCTATATACCCATGGAGTAAAGAATAAGGACACTTGGTAAACACTACTGTAGACAATAGAATCAAGCTCTCTGATCTGGCATGGGTCTGTTGATGACCCAAGCCTCCCTGCTTTAGTCATTCAAAGCTCTGACCCAACCATTATGTGGGCTAAGGAATCTGTCCAACAGCTCAGAAGCTTTGCTCAACACATTTCCCCCTGAAGTTTTGCAATATTTGGAGATTCTTCTAAATCCTTTGCTTCTCATTACTTTACAGCTTCAGGATTTAATTTTGAGAAAGATCCAAGTCCACAACCAACATTCACTGGCATTGGGTTTTGGTGGTGGAGGGGAAGGAGCAGAGCAATATAACTGACATTTTTATTTGCTTGCTTAAAATTAGTAAGAAGTTTTGAACCATTTCTTAAACACTTGGGATTAAGAAAATGACAAAAAAAGCATAATAAAAGTAATTATGAGTTAGCAACTTTCGATACTCAGTTGTACCTCAAACTACACTGGTTATACATGTAGTTATGTATCTATAGAGTGCATTTGTTTATGCATATGTAGGGAAAAAAATGCTATTTTTAAAAAAATGCAATATTCATAGAAACTATTTTAAACCCATGTAAAATAATATCCCCCCTTCAAATGACGTGTTCATCTAGTCCAAATCCAAAAGCCCCGGTTTTAATGGAGCTTAAGCGTCACACCAATGCTATTTTCTTAAGGAAAAAAAGCCAGACTAGCTTCAAGCTACATATTTTCCTAGTAATATTTCCATTCCAAGCACAACCACCAATATGTTGACATTTATTTGCTACATGTCATTATTTAAAGTTTTACAGCTGCATTCCTTTTGCTTTATTAATGGTTTGTCACTACAGCCATGTCTATACTTGCCTCATATTAAAGCGGGTGGGGGAAGAAAAAAAAGGAAAAAGAAATAAAAAGGGCTTCCTTTATTTGTCAGGTCTGGTATGACCCCACCAGAGATAATGCCAGCAACAGTACTGTCTACAAAGCACAGCTGGCCACAGGCATTCATATTATATTTTTTTAGCAGTATTTGACATAGAAGAACTCCATGCAGAGCTAGATGAAACATGGCTAAAACATCTACTGTGAGACTGGCAGGCTTCACATCAAAATGAAAACCTTTGGAAACAGGCTTCACAACACTTTTTTAGCTCATTTACTCATCCACCCTATTTAAAAGAGGTTTATTCACCTTGCATTCACACCCTTCCTAAAATCTAGTATTCCCGCCACCTCAGGGGATGCTCACATAAGCAAACTTGATTGATACAAAGGCAAGGTCTGAACACAAGCACCTTCTTTTTCTTGTAGATTCAGAAACATCAGTGGGAGAAAACACCAGACAAGAACCCAAAAAGCCAGGTCACATTTCAGGATATGAGAACTCTTCCTTAGCTAAAATATGAACTCCAAATACTAACCCACAGCTTATTTTTCAGGTACTAATTCAAATTTGGGGTTTTGTCTAGAAAGCTGACTATATTTAAATTTAAAAAAGATATTTCCTGTGCGTCTACATTCCCTAGGTTTGGCGGGAACGGACCACAGCAATGCCAGCATGGAGCTAGAGGCTGCACCTCCCTGTCTAGCTATCTCCAGGAATATGGGAAATCACAGCTTCCCATCTTGCTGTAGAGCAAGAAGAAATAACCATCCAAGTTTGATGTTTCTCTCTCCAAACCAAACTTGCAAGCCTTTTGAAGTTTGCAAGTTACTGTTACAAACCTGATTTCCAGTTCAGAACTGCAGCCTTCTACTGATCACTGAGATGACTTAGTTTCCTTAAATTAATTCAATATGTGAATTCGTAATACATAAATTAGTTGCACATGGCATTAGAGAGAAAATTTAAACACACAGAAGAACAAACTGTAACTATCTAAAAACCAATGACCATGTATGGTCAATTAATATGACCTAACAGGTTATGTCAGAGTTCCCCTGAAATTCTAAAAGCAGTGTGAACCACATCAAGATAACCAAGTCCTGCTTTTCCTAGAAGGTCTTACCCATGATATTAATGGGGCTATAAGCCAAGAACATTCTTCTTTTCGGGATTTTTTTCCACTGTCTATTACAAAGCTGAAGAACCTTTTCAAGCTATGGCAGACAAATTCAGAGAACCTGGCAAAAGCAAGAAGAGTTCTGACTATTCAGTCCTGTGACCCCTCTCTGCAAAGGCTCAATTTTTATTTTCCTGAAGAAGACCATTAAACTCTACTGAACAGTGTGTTCTGCTTTTTTATCAGTCATCTGGAATTACAAAAGTTGTACTACAAAGATGATTTCTGGTGACAGCCTTCTAATACCTATTAGAGCCACATATCCTAGTTTATTTAAAATACAACAGAAATCCAGGACTAAACACACATTTGCACTTGTGCAGTGGTTAGTTAAGGTTACTCTGTCTGATAATAAAAGAACATCCTGCACAGAGTCTGAAGCTACAGTCTCAGCATTACTATAGAAAAGATTCAAAACACACATAGTATAAAATTTTAAAAGGAAAAATTTTATCTTTCCAGCTTAAAAAAAAAGCCTTACAAGTTCAAGATTAGGAAGTTCATACGCAGATGGTGCATGTACATACACAGACACACACAAGCCCAAACAATGCATGCAGCAAGTAATAAACAAGCAAACAAAAACACCTCAGATTTTCTACAAGATTTGTCCTCAGACATGACAAGCCATTTGCCCATGGCCCAGCCACCTCCTGAACCAGCTGTGACCTCAGCCCCTCCTGGCCACCAGATGCATCATTGAAGACCATCAATTTCTCAAATTGCTTTCCATGAGATGAAGCTCAAATGCAATGGCAACCGTCAAAGAAAGCCAGAGGCGCACTGGTGCTCAACCTTCCCTTACCTAAATTTAGGACAAATGTCTGTCATGATCAGTAACATGAGCTATCCTGCCTTTGTAACAAACACCAGAAATCACATGGTATTAGCACGTATGGCAAGACACATGTCCAGTCCTCCCTGAAGGAAATTAACCTAAAACACTCCTTGCAAAGAAAACTTGGACACTAAGAGTGGCTTCAAAGAT